TATGTTGGTATGGATGGCATGGAATATAAATAATTTTTAACCAGGGTGCAGGCCTCCTTATAAGATCCTTTGAATTTCTTTGTTTGAGGTGGGGGAACCTCAAAGGATTGGAAGTAAATTTCCAACTCCTCTGGGGAGACAGCAATGGAGAGTATACTTCATTGGAGGTTCCTTTGTGTATTGTTATTGAACAACCTCTTGGGACTTTAATCCCAGGAAAGCATGGACTGGTCTATAACTGTTTTCCAGTCTCAGGAGCTCATGAGTCATTTTTTTTCTATTAAAGAATGTAGTAAGCATCAAGTAGATAACCCCAAGGAATAAGAATATGTTAGACTAATTGGGCATTAGTCAGCAAGCATAAGGTGGGGAATTGCTCTGAATATCTGGATTACCCTTGTGTTATATTCTCAGCTATATTCTCTTGAAGTAAACTCTTTCAGGGAGACACTTTCACAGAGATAGGGGAACACTGCTAATTTTAAGGCAAGAATTGATAGTTGGAAAATAGTAATAAACCTGAGGATTGTAGTCACTGTCAGTGAGCTGATACTGTGTTAGTAATTATGTGAATCACCTGAAATGTTCCAGAATGCAAACTATTATCTGAAAATGCCCACAAAAGGCTGTCTTGGGTTTGAGGAAGAAACTTTTCTGTGGATTCTGTTCCAGAAAGCAAAAATTTTGCCATTATCTTTTCAATTCTAGACTTGCAGAATTCCTAACTGCTGAGGATTTATTTGGGTAAGAACTGATAAGTATTTCATCGTGTGCCCTTCAAATCAGACTCTGTCCCTTTCTGCTTGCCCCTTAGAAAGCTAATCACTATTTCCTTCTTTATTTTAATTGGTGTCCTTGATGTTAGATCATTCTGCTTCTATGAGACTTAGCTTGTTGGTGCTGTTATACTTTGCCTTTCTGTAAGTCTTTCTCCAGTATTGCCAGTTTAAATGACCTTCTTAAATTAATGTGGTGAAGCTCAGTTCTTATAAGTAATCATATCTTAGCTTATTAATCCCGTCTTATTATAAGTTCCAGAAGCAGCAAAAGGCTTAGACCAGAGCAGTTCTCTGCTGTATCATGCCTGACACTTTAGTCTATTGGGTTGGCACTATTTACTCTGTTTGCAGACTAAATAGGTAAAAGCAAAACTGAGAAGGAAAACAGATACCCTATTGTGAAGAGGCTTGACCAAGGTCACACAGCAGAGCTGTTTGCAGAGGGCCCTGATTCCCTAGCAACTACTATCCTAGTCAAACATATGGAAGCTGTGGAGCTGCCTGCTGTGTTGCTGCGTATGTGAACACATCTCTGATTATCCTCTGAGTATTATTTCTCTCAATTTACACAGAGAGGATGGTGCACAATTATTTGCCAGTAGGTTTAAAAGTGTTTCTGCAGATCTGAGAAGCAGAGAGTTGAACAGTCATGACAGCACTGAGAAATGAGATACAAAGCACTTGCAGGAATGCAACCAGGGTATATTGATTTTGCTCACAATTTTTTTAAACCACTTGGCTGCTAAGATTTGCTTCCCTTGATCAACATACCAGAACAGTTCTCTGGTTTAATACAGGTATTCTGTTTTTGTAGAAAGTGGAAAGGAAGCCTGTTGACCTGGAAGTGAATGGCAAGCCCTGATGCATTTGTAGGAGGAAAAAAAAAGTCATCAAGGCAATCCTCCTTTTTCTTGCACCTCTTGTGGGAAGGTCAGGCTCCTGCTACTCCTGTATTGAGGAGGAAATAGTCCATGAGTAGTCTGTGATGAGTTATACCATGGTCATGTCCTCCTATTTACACAGAAACTAAACTGTCTGCAGCAACAGACATCCCTTCCCCTTCCTTAGACAGCTTTTCTCAGTTGTGACTTACATTTTTCATCAACTCTTAAAGGTCAGCTACACTAGGAGGAGCTCTTCCTCTATGCCATCTCTCCCTGTTTAGCTGCCTATTCACTAAAGCTCTGAGTTGCTTTTGTATGGGCTGCTTTTTATATCTGTCCAGCTTCTTAAATCCTCTGGATTTCTTTTGGGTATCTAAGCTCCCTTCAGGGTATGAAAGAAACACGAATTCCGCTGACCCTTTTTGACACTGCAGTTTTTGGGCATTTCCCAATAGCTTCTTCCTGTTTCTCCTGATCACTTGTTTAGAAAAGTGGTGAAATGTTCTATATTTTGCAGCTTTGCTGTGGCATTTCTTTTTCAGAACAGACAAAACCTGGGCCATGCAGTTCCCAACGCGCAGTCTCTCAGTAGATGTCCAAGATAACATTGGCCCATTTTTTTTTCTTCAGTTAGGTTAATTTGTAGAACTAAATAGATTATGTAGATAACATATGCACACAGTACTAACTGCAATACTTTCTAGTATTGAATTTGACTCTCCCCATCTCCATTCATGTCAGTTATGTTTTATGACTGTTAGACATTCCCTGTATCAGAAACAGTGTGGCCAGCAGGACCAAGGAAGTGATTCCTTCATTGGCACTGGTGATGCCACACCTTGAGTGTCCAGTTCTGGGCCCCTTAATTCAGGAAGGATATTGAGGTGCTGGAGCAAGTCCAGAGAAGCCTAACGAAGCTGGTGAAGGGTCTAGAGAGTCAATTACATGAGGAGTGGTTGAGGAAGCTGGGGTTGTTTAGCCTGGAGAAAAGGAATGTCAGGAGAGACCTTATGAATCTCTACAGCTACCTGAAAGCAGGTTGTAGCCATATGGGGGCCTGTTTCTTCTCCCATGCAACTACTGACAAGGGAGGACACAGCCTCAAGCTGTGCCGGGGAAGGTTTAGACTGGACATTAGGAAGGATTTCTTCATTGAAAGGGTGATTAGATATTGGAGCAGGTTGTCCAGGGAGGTGGTGGAGCTACCATCCCTGGAGGTGTTCAAGAAAGACATGGTCTAGCTGACATGGTGGTGTTCAGTCATAGGTTGGACTCGATGATCTCAAGAGGCCTTTTCCTACCTAATTAATTCTGATTCACAGTACAGGGCAATAGTTTCCTCAGCGCCAAAGGTGTTTCTCCCACAGCAGGCAGCTCACCAGGTGTGTCTGTAAGCCCTCAGTTTGAAGACAAGAACCACCAATCCAATATTCTTTACTAGCAACTAAACGCATGCATGGCACTCACTTTTGGGGTTTATTGATGCTTTCTGTGCAGAGGACGGCAGGAATTTCTACGGTAGAGCGCGGAAGCACCGTGCGAGGCTCCCACCTCGAGAGAGGCACTCCCTTTCACGAGCGGAATGAGCAGGGAACACCCCTTGGCCGCCGCTCCCCCCCGAGGAGCGGGTGCAAGAGGAGCCGCCTGCCCAGAGCCGCCGCCATCACAGGCACCCGCTCCCGCCTTCCCGCCCGCCCCCGAAACTACCGCTCCCGGCATGCCCTGCGCGCCGCCGCCGCCAGCGCTGCGCGGGGATTGGCGGGAGCTCAGCCAATCGAGAGCGTGGGCCTGGCCCGGCGGCCCCGCCTCTTCGCTCCCGCCTCAGGGAACCTTTGAAAAAGTTCTCAGGTGCGCGGGGTTCACGCTGCGTCTGGGCCGGCCGGGCGGGCGGCTTTGGTACTGTTTGGCCTGGCCCGGCCCGGCGGGACGCCCCCGAGCTGCCCCCGAGCCGCGGGGGTGAGGCTAGTGTGCGGCGGGAGCGGGATTTCTGGTGCTCGCGGTGCTGCCCGGGGCGAGAGAGAGTTGGGCTGGGTCTCCGGCTGCAGGCGCATCCCGGTGTCCCCGCCGATGGGGCGGGCGGGCGCCGGAGCCCGCTGGGCTGGGCGGCCGGTTGGGTTTCCTCCTGTTGAAGGAGCGACTTTCGTAGACGGGGTAATTAAGTTTTCTGCTTGTGAAGATGTGGAGGCCTGTGCGTCTGCGAAGTTGTAATAGTTTTGCATCATGGCATATTTGCAGTTTTTGCACTTACTGCATCATAAAACGTTTTGTCTTGCCTAAATGTCTGTATAAATTAATATTAGGAATGTTGCCTAAAGAGTATGTGTGAAACAGCAGTGTGCTCAAACATACGTATACGTGTGTTTTGTGTTGTACTGAGCCAAACACCATCCCATGGGGTTTTATTCCGTAGAATGGAATGACAAAAGGGAACAAAGGTGCAAAACTGAGGGGAAGAAGGACCCATAGCTGCAGTATAATCTTAACCTGCTACATAAAATAGTCTTAAGGTTTATCTGAGATAATCAGATACTCTTTAAGCAGGAATCTCAAAAATACAATTTGCTTAGGTCTCAATCACAGTATACCGCAATTGTTACTGTCTTTGTGCAGTGGTATTTTTGTTCATTTTTTAAAATAAATAGCGTTTCTGTTATAATTATCTTCTTCATATGCTCAGCTTCGGCCTCTGGCTTCTTTTGCACTGTTGGCTAAATTAAAGAATTCTTTATTGAGTGTGTTTGGTTTGTAAGCTGTACCTAGAACATTACGAGGTGGATTTGACTAGTTGGATCACCTTGACGCTTGCATGCTTAAGTGTGTTCCAACCCTTCAGGCTTTCTAGTGTCTTCTTTCTGTTCTTTCAACACCTGTCACGAATCCTGGGTCACCAGAACTGAGTGTGTGTTCTAGGGCTAAATCCTTACTGTGATTACTCTACAATTCATGTTTAGGCATCCAAAGATAACTTATTTCTTTCCAGTGCAGTATAGCATGAGGAGTTCTTGTTCAGCTCACGACTGAGTGATTTCCAGCTTTCTTACATCCCAGAAACATCTGCCTTATAAACATTTCTGACTCTGCTGTTCTGATTGGCATGATCTCATACATGGTCAAATATGAGGAGATGTAATTTAACAAAAGTGCTCTCAGAGTGGTAATATAATTTAATGTGACTCAGACCTGTAGGGGAAGACTGTATCACATTATATCATTTATATATATGTGTGTATATATGCACATGTGTGCACACTTGCCTCTTCTTTTGCAAGGAGTGAGTGGAATTGCAGAGTTGTATTCAAATAATCTTTCAAATTTTTTTGTTTTGTTTGCTCTGTAGGTTGGGGAGCATGGCTGCTAAGAAACTAAGAAGAGCACAATTGTCTCAGGAGCTGTGTGAAAGGCTGAGTCGCTGTCAGATCACTACCTGTCAGGTGAAAGCGTTATTTTGTTTGCAGGGGGTGTTTTTTTTTTTTGTGGTTGGTTTTTATTTTAGTGGTGGGTTTTTTGTGTGTGTTGTTTTAATGCATGTCATGTTCACTTTTTTGTAATTAAACAGGAAGCTTTACTTTCTGTAAAGTAAGGGGCATTTCAGACACCATCTGGCCTGCTGCCTTGTAAAAGTAGAGCTTTAAAATGATAGATGCCTAACTAAAACATTTAAACTTTTATGGACGTATTACCCCTGTGGAGGTAGGGAAGCTCTGGAAACAGCTCTGCAGAGAAGGACCTGGGGGCCCTGGTGGACAAGAAGCTGTCCATGAGCCAAGAGGCCCTATGTATTTCAGCAGCTTGCATCATATTTACAGGATCTCTGCCTAGCACTGCAATTTGAAGGACTTAAATGTGGTTTTAATGTGTTTCAGGTGGGCAAAAACGTGTTATCTTGTTGCAGTTCCATTACACAGATCTTAAATGGTTGGTCCTCTTATTCCATGTCTTTTAAAATACGGATACAATTTCTTTTAGTATACTGTTTGAGAAGAAGGTAGGAGAGATACAGCATAATAGTGTATAACGGGGCAGAGTTGGTGAACCTGTGGAATGTGTACCAGCTGTATACAGATTGCATCAGTTTAGTCCCCAGCCTGGGTTGAACTCTCTGAACTGCTTTATTGTCTTTCAGGACTTTTTATGTCTTTCACTCTTGGAGCTAATGAAAGTGACGGGACAGAGCTACTATGAGGTGCAGAAGCTTCTTTGTAAAGTCAGCCGAGCTTGTGCTCCCAAAATGCAGACAGTAAGTATGCTTGTGTTGATACTGTTTTTGATACAATATCTGGGAAAAACCTGAACACTGTCACTCATCTTTTTAGCTGGGAGGCTTGGAGTGTCTTGGTTTTATTGCGCAATGAAGTAATATTTTTGGTTTTAAATTTAGATCTCTGACGCACTTTAGTTTGATGCAGTTACATTTATTAGGTATTATAGCCTCAAGAGATCGTTCAGGCTTGTTTGGAGTGCAGCAGGGAAATATGTTATCCACTCTTGCAATCCAGCATGTAAAAATGGCTTCTAGTTTGGATCCTGCAACTAAAAAAAAAAAAAAAGAAGTTGTTTAATGCAGACAAAGACTAAGAATTTCAGTATGAATTGGTTTTAGATATAAAAGTGGTGCTGAGAAGTGAAGTGATCCTGAAAATAATTTCTTGAAGATTTTTTCCTAATGAGCTGTAGTGTGCCTTACAGGTAGTCCAACTAGGGGGAGTGCAAGAAGGAAACACATTAGCTGCAAGGCAGTTGCTGGATTTTCTCTTGGCAGGTGGAAAATTATGAATGGTTAGAGTACCAACACAGGCTTATTCAAAGTCTTGGAACTCTTTAGCAAAACTTTCCTTCAAGCCATGTAGCTTCAAATGGGTAATCAACGTTAGGGGATTTTTGTTTTTAGATTTCACATGAGGGTTTTGTATTGGTCACTAACCGTACATATACTATTTACTTATTCAGAATTTGAATTTTTCAGGTTAAAAGCAAGACTAGTTGAATAGCAGCAGAGAAAATTTCTGTCACTTTGTTATTAAAGGCTTATTATTTAATATTGTGATGAGGGAAATAAAAAAGACTTTAAAATTTACTCATTCAGATATAAATGGGATGTAAGTGTGATGAACTAAGCAGACTATAGCTGAAGATAGGAGTACTTTGGTCATTGGTAAATATTAAGTCATACCAGGTTGATGAAAGCAAACACAAGTTTCCTATTTCCATTTAAAAAAGGCATTTTCTGGTTTGTTTGTTTTCTTTTGTTTTTTCCCCCCTCTCCTTCCATAGGCTTATGAAATGAAATTAAAGAAGTCTGTCAGTCCCTCTTCAGCCTTTTTATCTACCACGCTGCATAGTTTGGATAGAGTCTTGCATGGTGGAGTGCCTTGTGGGTCCCTCACAGAGGTAACTTGTTTAATATGTGTTACTTCATTGAACATTCCACGTAGAAATGAAAAAATCACAGATAGGTTGGACTGTCTTCTGTCATGCTTTAAACACAAAATACCCAAAATTTTTGGATGAGAAGTGCTTTTTTTTTAATTTGTAGAGGCTACCTTTTTGTTTTTTGGTGATGTTCCTATTATGTTAGGTGAATAAGAGGATAAAGGAATTAAAATTACTGCAATCCTTCACTTCATCCTTTAAAAAAGTGAAAATTTTCACAGGAAATTTGGGAGATTTGTTGGCTGGATTTTGCGTTGGGAAACTTGCGGTTTCACAGTCACAGCACAAGGTGTTGAATCAGGAATCTGCCATTTTAATACTGGTCTGACTTTCAACAAGTCATTAGTTTCTACAAAGATAGAATAAGCAATTAGCACACAAGTGTGAAGTGTATAGGCATGGAAATGTCTTTCCAGAGCTTTTATATATAGATGTAATTTATGCAATAAATACATAATGCACTTTAGAAAAAGGCTGTCATTAAGGTCTGTATTATATGCACATACATTGCAGAACTACAGATTAGATGTCTCTACTTGTAACTGTCACTCTCTAGACTTTGGATAATGCTACTTTTTTTCTTTAAATTTAATTTAAAATTAAATTGTTCTAGTATGTGGTTTTCTGTATAGCCTTACAGAAAGTGATAATAATGTGCATAGTTTCCATACTCTGGAAAAGTGGGATTTGTGTAGATGCTCATAGGAGTCACAGAGCATTATAAAAATACGAAGATGCAATCTGTGGCTTAGAAATTTGCTGACCTACAAATGAAGTTGGAGAAACTTATATGTTGGAGGGAGTATCGTTATTTGTGTGCCCTGTTCCTAGGTTATTCTCCTAGCTATCTGTTGTAGGTTCTTGTTAGTGACAAATCCAGAGCTAGATGGACACTTTTATGCACTGTGGCCGTACTTGCCGTCTTAAAGTTCTGAAGTCATCTGTGCCCTCTAGAAGACCTATGTGTTGTGAGTCATGCTCTGAAACAAATCTTAACAAATCCTTTTTTTTTTCTTCCCCTTAGCAGTCCTTAACAAGTGCTTTTCTTTGTAGATGACTAAAAGTGAGAAGTTATCTTACTATGAAGAAAATACGTTTTTCCCACACCTTATAATCAAGCTAGATTGATTTTGATCTCAGGTAGAAATGACTTATGAAATCTGGTAGTGACTTTAAACATACTAGTGTTTAAGCAACACTGGGTTTAGACTAAACAGTTTCTGCTTAGTAAACTCTTATGTAATGAGGGGATATTAGTTTTTAAAGATTCTGAGTCTTTCTTTTTGTATATGATGTACAGGAATATACACCATTCAGGTCATCATAAAAATGTTTAAGAACACATATTGATTAAGAACATATTGATCTCTCATATATGGGCCTAACTTTGGTGTCAATTTACTGTAAGAAATTTGGTTTAGAAGAACTTAATATCAACACTGGAAGTCTTTAAATTCTGGGAGAAACAGCCTGCTAAATTCTGTTTAATTGAAGAAGAAAGAGCTGTTCCTGTATGTAGTAGTGTGGTATGCATGGCCCTGAGATTGTTACTATACTGCTGTTGAGGACAGTGCCTTCAGCAGGAGATGAGTTTTTCATTCCCGAAAATATTTTTTTGAGCAAAACAGTGACTACACTAGGTGTGCTTTGATGTATTTTCTTATCTGTTATTGTTCATCCAGTGAACTGATGAAATAGCACAGTCCATGTTTGAAAAGAAACGACACTCACTTTCAGCTAGGATGCGGATTTCCAGGATTTCCATGTGGTCTACTAACCTTTTTTTTCCTGAAGGCAGAGAATGGCTGTTCACATGCTTATATTGCTTAAACATCTGAATTGTGCTTTAGTTGAAATGCAGAGCCACTGCTGTGCAAGTAGGAGAGAAAAAAGTAGAATAGAGATGTGTCTTTTCTGTGATAGGACTGACTGGCTCATGAGTGGTGCCCAAATATTTGGAGTACTGAATATGGAATATTCTTGTCTGCTTAAAAACCAAGTTGATGTGATTTTGGGTCCACAGAGCCACACAGTTATTTTACAAGGCTGCTGTGATGAATATTTGTCTTTGTTTTTAATCCTAAATTGGAGCTATCATTCAGCAATCAGTGCAGTGTATCTGACATGTTCTTGCCAGAAGATCGTGTTGAATGGCTCTAGAGCATAACAGAATTCAGGCTTGTTAATTGCCACGTTCTTGGCATTGCTGCAGACAGAGATCTGAGAAAAGCAGTGGTTGACATGCTGGGAGTTTAGGGGAGCTTAGCTAACCCTTGACTTCTAGGTTTTCTGTTGGTGTTTTTTATTTTTGTCCTTTTTTAAAACTTCATTTTAAAGTAAGCACACCAAGTAGTTGATCTTAAACTATGGATGTCAGATATAATTTTCCTGAGATGGTATAAAATAATGCTCTACAGAAAGTTAATGTGAATGCTTAATTTTCCAGTGCTGTGTATTTCCTACTACTTTGTGGCCTCGTTGATTTTTCACAATATTCAATTTTAATATTTTCACCTCAGTGTTTCCTTAAAGTACTTATCTCTTTAGATATGAAGAAATCTGGGAAACTTGCTAGTCTCTATTTTAACAATGGTCATACTCTCTATCATTGTATTTAAAGTTAGTTGTGGGGAATTAATGTATTCAAAGATAGGCTGAACTTTAATCTGATTGTAAATGAAAAGCGCTGCACCAGGAAAGGTGTTGCACTTTAAGTTTTCTTCTGAAAAAAAGCTTTGTTAATGTTAAGTTTTTTGTATTCTAACAACATATTTTGATGAGGAATGAGAAGACCTGCCTGGTGCGGTTCTTTTCAATGGGGGATCTTGCTGACAGACAGCGATGTGGATGTTTGTACAAGAACTTCCAGCACTGCATCCTTTCACCTCTACCTTAGGCTTGGTTGGCAATACTGATACATAACTATTTAGTCAGAAATACCATAGGGAGAACTAGGTAGGCTCCAAGAATTAGATGAATAACTCAAGAGATTAGAGGTGTCTAAAAAAAATTAAGCGTGTATTGCTTTTTATTTGCTTTTTAGGTACTAAATGTGGAAAGTTCTGTTCAAAAGTATGCTGGTACAGCATTTACTTGCTGACTAGTGTGGCTAAATCATTGTCTTCCTGTTGCTTTACCCAGCAGTAATGGTGGCTGGAAACTTGGAATTTGAGTACATGAACCACAAGATTAAGACTTGTGGTAGTATCTTCTACTGCCAAAGCTGCTTGAGTTTTGAGTGCCAGAGGGATTTGATTTGTGTTACACTGTTTCAGACCATTTTTTTTCCAAACCACTATTAGGTTTTAAGTGGGAAACTAAATCATAGCTGAAATTCTGTGGTCAAATGTCAGAGCTTTTGGCCAACTTGTATGAAGAAAAATTAAAGTCATTACTTTGTGAATATTGAAGAATTTAATCTCCTGGTAGATGAAGAAGAATTAGCTCCTTGTGACTTCATCCAAACCCTCCAGGTGTGCCAGAGAAAATAATATATAGCTTACTGAAAAATAAAAGTATATTTTCTTAGGCAGAGATAAATTAAAAACTGTTGCAGTCTTCACATTTTTATTTGGGTGATTTTTTTTCCAGAACAAATTTAGATTAAAACAAACTAAGCAAATTTTTTGCTGGCATTCAATTTAAATTATATTAGAAGAATTTTAACTAGGATACTAGTGTTCAAAAACACTTGCTGAACGTGTGGTAACTACAATAAAATGTAGTTTTTAAAAACTGTTTACTGTGGATTGTTTAAAAGTCTGTTTCAATGCCCTTTAAAGGAATGCTGATGAAAGATGAAGTATTGTTGTCTTTGGGAATAGAAATGCTCTCCTGCTCAGCTGGCTTGCTTCCTTATACTAGCTTGTACTGCAGAGTTCCCTCTGTGATATGATGCTCATATCCTCAGACATTTTTATAGCAACTCTGCTGAATTAGTTCCTGCATCAGCCACTGAAACATTGATTCCAGTGCACCTCCCAGGCAAGGCTGAAATTACAAACATTTTTACAGGATATCCTCACAGTTATCTAAACATTTTACTTTAACACTTGGAGTGATGCCCTCCCCTCATTCATTTCAAGTCTTCTTTTTAACTAGAAGCAGCTGGTGAGATTCCTTGGCTATCACAGTCTAAGGAATGTGTATTGGCTCTCCATTTTTTTATATATGTTTGGGTTCATATTAAAATGTAGCAACCATTGTTGATATGATATTCTGTAATTTAAGTGCACTGGCTGAAGGACAGATAATTGCATAAATGTGACTGATTCCTGATCTCTAATTCTCTAAAAGGAATGTGTGCTAAACAAAAATCATCTAAAGCTTCTCTTGCATCAAAGTTTCAAGTAGATTGATCGATATGGCTTGGCTTTCAGGCCTTACTTAAATACAAAGGTGATGAAAGGGATTTTAACCAATTGATAACTGTAGCTAATGTGGTCCTTCCCTGTAAATTTTCTGTGCTTCAACTCATGCTGCTGCTACTTAAAACCTGTAATTGTAATAGCAATACTGTAATACCTAGTGGTGAAAGGGTGTCTGTGCTTAAAACCAAACTCTTGTGTGTGTAGTCTCAAAAATCAGTTTGATTTTTGAGTGTGTCTGTTTTAAGGTTTCTTTTTGGCAGTACTAGGTGATTTGAGGAGGTATGCTTCATTTTGGAGTTTAATTTCCCTGGAGAGGCTTGCTTTTACCTACTAGCATCAGAATGAACCCATCACTCTGTTTCTAGTGCTTAAAGTCACTCAGCTGGTTTTTTGCCCTCTTAGTATTTAAGATTTCGTCATCTCCTTTCCCAGAAGCAGCGACAATGTGGGATTGTATTTAAAGACCCGCTATAGTAGTAATGAACTTACAATTATCTGGACACAGAGCCCAGCATTCATTTACAATCTCTGCAAAATCTACAGTGGATAAAGAACAGCAGAGTGTAGAAAAATATTGATCTCAGAAACTGGTGATCTCATCAAACAATGGATTTTTGTGGTTTTTCTGTTTAATCAAAGTCGTACTGGAGCCTTAACTACAGGGGGCTTTCAGTGAGCACAGGTGAGAGCTTAGAATTGGCAAGCTGCTCTGGATCACTGAATGGTGTTGGCATTGAAATATGGTAATAGGGAGTTAACACCAATGAAAAAACACATACTGCATAGCAGAGTGTAGTCTCTGGGGCAGATAAAATCTGTTTTATGTATATATGTGGATCATATTGAACATTCAGTCTTTACAGGATAGAAGCAATTATCCTTGTGATTTCCAAGGGAGACCTGGTTTAACCAAAGTAATGATGATTCCTAAGCAGTCATTTACATCTGAGAGCTCCTGAGCTCTGGACTTCGTTTTCAGCTCTGAAGGCCATTGGTGACACTTGAATGTCAACTGTTAATCTTCTAATTCTTCTCTATTTTAGAAGGTAGCACAAAGATGAAAGAGAACTAGGTGTCTCTAGGGAAGATCTTGTGAGTGAGGGAGAGAGTAGAGAACCTCAAATTTGAAAGGTAATAATGATGTCAAAAAAATAAAATGCAAGCATAATGCAATGCTGGGTCTAAAAAGCTGATTGTTCTTCAGTGGATGAGTCTGACTGCAAGGCACAAATCCAAGAATAACTCCAAGTTGCTCTCTGTGGGTTGCATTCTATCTTTTCATGTCTGTCTTCTCCTGTGATAGCTGAAGGAGCAAAATTGGAGGTCTGATGGGTTGAGGATAAAAGTACAATTACGTAAAATGAATGTTATGTTACTAATCTTTTTTCTTCCAGATAACTAGCCCACCAGGTTGCGGCAAAACTCAATTTTGTATTATGCTGAGTGTTCTGGCTACACTGCCTGTAAGCATGGGAGGACTAGATGGGGCAGTTATATACATTGACACAGAGTCTGCATTCAGTGCTGAAAGGTAAGATGCAAAAATCTAAAATACACACAGCTTCTTAGCTAGCACCTTTTGTCTTGGAACCTTCAATTATTTTCTGAGCAATAATGATGTAATTTTAGATACCTGTGGTAGTTATTAACCATTCCTCTTGTATATGCAGTTATTCCATAGATGTTGAAATTAATGTAATAGAATGGTTTGCTTCTTAATTTGATGATGTTGCAGATTACAGTTTTGGATTTGGCAAGGTGGATGGCATGCTCTTTAATTTATAAATGTAATTATCAGCCTTGTATCTGAAGTCTTTCTTTGCAGTTTAGTTTGTGGAGTTAATAGGAAGGTTTTGAGGATGTAAAGGCCCATCATTTTGACTACAAAGGAAATGGAGATTTTTTTTTGGTGAACAGTAAGACTAACATAGCTAATTTTCCTTCAGATTTCTTTTCTACTTCTGTTGAGTGGGACCCTGTGTCCTCCTGCACTCCTCGTTTTCTTCTGAGCCAGCTCACATTTCTCCTATATCCTTATATTACCTTCCCTCTATAACATCTCTGGTTTTTCTAATATCTGCTGCTTGGCCCATGCGACCAAAACTGCTCAGCCATGTACTTAATGGTGTGTTCTAAATGGACAGGAGAGATTATGTGCTGTATTTGCTTGAGAGAACAGGTGTATGCATGTGTTGATTGCCACTCTTCCCCATGCTGAGTGATTAACTGTTGAAATAATCCTGCAGTGTTTCATTAAAGGTAGCTCTAATTTGCTGTACTTAACTACCAACTTTTCTAAACAATAGGATTTAATATTTTTTGAAATTTCTATTCCTTTGCCCCTGTTGTTTGGAATGAGCATGTTCAAAAGTTCTTAAGGATCTGGAGGAGGACAAGAAGTACAGTAGTCACATGCTCGTTTGTGTAGAAAAATGGGCAGAAAAATATTCTTTGAAAGAATTCAGATGATTTAGTAATTATAACCATGACCTGAATCTGGAGTATCAAAGCAAACCTGTTTGCATTGTTTATTCATTTGAAGTTATGGATGAGAAAGTTATGTTTTTTATTAACTTAATTTTTATTAACTTAATTTCCCAAAAGTTTGAAGTGTAATATGTCAAAGAAAAAAGCTTCAAGCAATGGCTCTGCAAAGTATGGTGCTTCCCCCCTTACACAACACTTAGGTTTCATTTCAGATCCCTGAAATGTAAATAGTAAAAAAGGGTAGGACCCAATGAGTGAGTTAAGACTTGTTGTTTAGAAGTGAATGCTAAAGAAAAGGAAATCAGGTGAACATGAAAATGAAACTGCTGAAAATACAATATTACATAGAAAGGAAATGTGGTGAAAATAACATTATTACTAAGGATGAGTATATTTGTCTATTAAATCATATATAGTATTACTCAGTTGGAAATGATAGATAAACACAATTTCAGGAGACTGACTGCATCTTATACTTTCTGTGTTGCAATCTCTAAGGAGCTGAATCAGCAGAGTGAGGGAGGTGCATATCCACTTTTACTTTGTATATGTTTGACTAGATTCTGGGTCCAGTTCTGGGGTCTCAGTATGAGGAATACAGGACAAACTGCAGGAAGTTCAGCGAAGGACTACCAAGGTGGTTGGGAGCAGCAGCACTGGCCGTTTGTGGAGAGACTGAGGACTTGCTCAGTCTAGAGGAGAGAAGGCTTTGGGGAATCTCACAGAAGCTTTCTCTTGCCAATAAGGAGGCCATGGAGAAGATGGCACGGTGATGTGTGGCAGGGGGACAGCAGGCATAGATTGAAATCCATTTCTGTGCTGATATATGGAGAAACTTTCTAATTCCTGACTGTTTTTATGGTGAAATAAAGGTTGTCCAGAGAATTGGTGCTGCCTCCATCTTTGGAGGCTTCCAAAATAGGTAAAAGACTCAAGTAACTTGTTCTGACTCAGTAGCTGGCACTATTTTGAACAATTTATTGGCCTGGAAGTCTCATGCGTTCTCTTTCTAACCTGAATTTTCTTAAGATTCTGTAGTCCTGTATTATTAATAGATGGCAAATAGAAGATATTTTGGTTTTATTGTTGTTCTAAACACCTCAGATAAGAAGGCAAATCATAGAATATTCATTTAATAGCATCTTCGATATCACCTGGGGAGTCTTTCTGCTGTGCCTTCTGCAACCGGACTTGTCTATCTCACATTGGCCTTTTTAGCCATCAGCGCGCTTGCAGCAAGCGTGGGTAGAGCCCTTCTCAAATCTTCGTTCGCGAAGCCTAGCCATGATGAACTTAAAGGGCTTGACTGAGACATTTAGCTGGCATTATTTTTATAAGAGAAAGCTGCAACAGTGCAGGTTGTGTCTGTCGTTCCTCTTTATCAGAACATGGACGGTAGGGCAGGTAGATGAAAAGGTTGTATTAAGTCTGGAAATCAAAATTGTTCTCATCAGTTTTGTTGTAGCCAACTGTTAACTGAAAACATACTGGACATACTCAGAAAGTCTGAAAAGAATTTTTTAGGTTGTTTTTTTTTCGCTAGTTGCACTTATTGCTTGTGAAAAGCAGTAATTACCAATTTCTGTGAACCAAAGCTGAGAACAGATTATCTGGATAGATAATAGATCTGCCCTCGTTGCAGAAAACCTGTTCTGTGGAGTTTTTGGTCTCATCATGGCAAACAGGATTTAGATAGTAATGAACTTTGAACCCGCATGGAGCTCCTGAAAGTAGTGCTGCAATCTTGGCAAGATTTTCATGGATCCCTTTATGTTATTCTATCTAATGTTGTTCTTTGTGATGTGCATGCCCGTTAGGAGGCACAGTGAAATCTCATTTCCTGCAGACTGTTGAATGGCAGCTCACTGTTGCCCAAATGGTTTGCATGATTAACTGTGCAGGCGGGCAGACAAAATCCTGTCTCTGGAAGCTTCTGCAGGACAAGTTTACATGTAATAAGTAATGTATTTGATGAACGAGATTCAGGCTATTAAAATGAAATGGTTTGCTCAGGGTAAGTATATTAACACTCAAGCTTAGTGCTTCTATTTTTTAAACCAAATACAATGGATTTTAATTTTTTTTCCTAAAATAGCTTTGCCATTATGTATTTTAATGAAAGGGGTCTAAATGAAAAGCACTGAGATAATAACAGTAAGTTGTGCCCACAAGTATAATCCATTACAAGCCACTCAAGCTATAGGTAGTGGGATATGCCTGCTTTAAATACAAACAATTAAGCATTTTCTGTTATTAAAAAAAGAAAACTTTCATTATGGAAAAAATTTCAGTGTGCAAATTATAAGTTTCAAAGTTAAATTCTTGGATCGTCTCTTTAAGGACCTAGATAAAATTGCCTTGTGTTCAGAGGAGTGGAAATTCTTTCCAGTGACTTTGTAGGAGTTCGTAGGCAGTCAGCATTTCTAAAATGCATACTATTTAGTTTCCCCAATAATTTGATGTATAAAATATAATTTAACTGAAAATTGTTTATTTTTACATCTGTGTGAGCTTTTTCAAGTCATAATTTCTGAATATGGAAGTATTTTGACAACAAGTAATAAATATCCAGCTTCCTCTGACTTCTTTCAGTGTTATCACCTGTTATCTGATACGCTTCCTTAGTCTGCTCTGATAATAAAGAGTGGAATGCTTAGCAATTGTAATTCAAGGTTTTGAAGGCTTATGAATTTGCTAATAAGGTAATGGAGAGCATTTAATCACAGAATCCCACGTTCAGTTGTATCAGTAAAGCAGCCATGTAAATGCTCTAGTAATTTTGTCAAGTCATGCCATTTGTACCTGGATGTATGTTCAGTTGTAGTTGCCTGGCAGCTGGAGCCTCAGTCACTTTGTGACACAATACTGTTTGGTTTTTGGTTTTTTCACAATGTTCTAAAAAGTAGATTTTCGTAAAATTTTATAAGCCATTTTTACCAACAGGTAACTGGTAAAACAGAAACAGTCACCCATCCAAATGACCTTATTCATGTTTTTAAGGAGAGATTATCTGTGAAAAGATTTTCACTTTGTCAGGTATAGTTTCCATACATGTACTGCTTGTGTAAGTACTTGTAGTACTTACAAGCCCCTCAAACTGGGCTCTGTTCTTTGCAGTCCTGCTCCCAGGTTGGCTGAATCTTCTGTTTCTGATCAGCTTGTTAAATTAAAGGTGAAAGGGAAGATGATTTGTGTTGGAGAATACTTTTGTTTAAATGAAAATAGTATTTAGATATAACAATTAGAATAGGAGAATGTTTGATCATTGAGTGGAACCTCTTGTATAAAATTTGAACTTAGCATTGAGTAACTAAACTTTGCAGTTTCCTTCTAGAGGAGATATTCTCTTTCTTTGTGTACAGACACATAATATCATTCCTTTGTGTGCCACTGACTGAGCATCACTGAGAAGAGAACCTAACTGTTCTGACTTCCAGTTTTTCAGTCTGACTGATAAAGTGTGCTTTTCCTTTTTAAAAGTTTTCCAGTATTACTTCGTATCTGCTTATGGTTCAGAGGTTTGCTGTGTTTGCTTCATGAATATTTGATGACTTATTATCCTACATTATTCTTTTTGCTGTGATATACCTTCTGGTTTTGCCTTTTTCTTTTCTTTTTTTTTTTTTTTTTTAATAGGTTGATTGAGATAGCAGGAAACAGATTCCCTACTTATTTTGACTCAGATGAAAAGGTGTTCTGCATGACCCGTAGCATTCACCTCTATCGAGAGCTGACCTGTTGCAGTGTACTCAAGAGGTATTCTTTCCCAGAGTTTAAAATAAAAATACAACACCACTTTGACTTGATTGTCTATAACAATATTTGTTTTATATCAAAGTTTTATGAAGAGTAATTAATTTATTTGAGACCTTTTCATGTGGATAACAGCATGGTCTCCAGCAAAGTAGCACTGCAGAAAGATTGACATTGCTCTTTTCATTTCATAGCATGTGACTAATCCGGTTGATGTTTTTTAATTTCTGACAATTTCTATGTGATCTGATCCCTGTAAGCATTTAAAGAGGAGTGTTTATGAGACAGGTCGTCTCTTGGATTGTGGAGGGATCACAGTATAAGAGTTGTATTGTCCATGAAAGAGGATCTTGTTCCTCCAAAGCCCAGTTTCCTTCTAGGAAGACAGGAACCCTTCCAGCAGTGGGAGAAAGGAATTTTTTAACAGTCATCAGCTTGAATCCTGTTGTTGGCAGTGTTGTATTGTCATGCTGTTACCTTATGTTAATTTTTGAACATATTTTGCAATGAAAATTAAGTTATATTTGGCATCATATTCTGTGTTTTATGTTAGTGGGAGAATTCTTCTAAGGATAATTTTATCTTCTAGTACATCTTTGTCGGAGAACAGCTACTAGCATATTGTAGAAACATGAAATGTCTTGGAAGCTACCTTAAAGATCATCTACTTCCAACCCCCCTACCATGGTCAGGAACACCACCCAGTAGATCAGATTGCTCAGGGTCCTGCCCAGCCTGGCCTTGAACACTTCCAGGCATGGGCCATCCACAACTTTTCTGGGCAACCTGTGCCAGCGCCTCACTACTCTCTGAGTAAAGAATTTCTTGCTAATAAGTAATCTAAATCTCTCTTCTCTTAGTTTTTCCCCTTGTCTATGACTATCTGCTCATGTAAAAAGTCACTCCGCCTCTTATAAATGAGCCCCCTTTAAGTGCTGGAAAGGCTGCAGTGAGGTCTCTCTGGAGCTGCCTTTTGTCCAGGCTGAAGAAGGCCCAGCTCTCTCAGCCTGTCTTTGTAGGAGATGTGCTCTGGCCCTTTGAGCATCGTTGTGACCGTTCTCTGGAGGACTTCCTCTGGTCCGTGTCTTTTTTGTGAGGACCCCAGAGCTGAATGTAGTACTGTAGGTGGGGTCTCATGGGAGCAGAGTAGAGGGCAAGAGTCGCCTTCCTTGACCTGCTGGCCACACCTCTCGCTGCAACCCAGGATATGGTTGGCTTTCTGTGCTGCAAGTGCACACTGCTGGCTCATGCCCAGCTTTTTGTCCTCAGATCTCCAAGTCCTGCTCTGCAGAGCTGCTCTCAATTACACTTTCTTCAGACTGTACTCGTCTCTGGGACCACCCTGATCCTGGCGCAGCTCCTTGCGCTTCGACTTGTTTAACTTCGTTAGGTTCTCACGGGCCCACTTCTCAAGTTTGTCCAGGTCCTTCTGGATGGCATCCATCCTTATTAACAAATTAGGTTTGGAGGTACACAAAAATGGATTTGACCTGCATACATAGACACCAAGGAATCTGGAGCTGACCGTGGTTCACATCTACTGTGAGCTAAAAGGCACAGTTTCCATGCCCACTTTACTTGCCATCTGCCATTCAGGGGTGGTAAGGCATAGTCTTGCTAACTAGAGATTCTTCAAAATCCTCTCTTTTGGAGAGATTCTGCCTTGGGTTATGTGGTCCGGTGAGCCTCAGATTCCTTTCCAAATTCTTCAATACATGTAGATGTTAATGGAGGTGGTGTGTGAGGAGGGAAAAAGAGGGGCTGAGTTTCAGCTAATTAAAGGATTCCTTTTATTTAAACAATTTCAAAGTTATGAAATGGTTCTATTGTGTAAATAGTGCTACCAGTGACTGTCTTCTTTTTTTCTTTTTTTAGGATTATGTCTTTGGAAGAAGAAATTATTTCAAAGAAAGTTAAACTCATAATAATTGACTCTGTTGCTTCAGTTGTCAGAAAGGAGTTTGACACAAAACTTCAAGGCAATCTGGCAGAGAGAAGTAACTTTTTGACTAGAGGAGCATCAGTGTTGAAGTATTTGGCAGAGGAGTTCTCAATACCAGTAAGTTCTTCCTCCTTGCTTAAGTTTTTGCCTTAAGAGTATGAAGTCATAAAATTGAAAAAGAATGAAAATGACAGGAAGATGAAAACCAGAAAGTTATTCTAGCAGAAATCTTCAAGCAGGTACCAGTTGAAATATATTTGGGAAATGACAGAACACTAATGGCTTTGCTTATTGCTTTTTGTGTGTGGGGTTTTGTTTATTTGTTCTGTTGTTTGTTTTTTTTCAAATGTAGGACTTGAAAACAGGGACAAGATTCTCCAGCTGTTTCAGTGCTTTGGTATTTGTTTGTTTTCTTGTTTTTCTTGAATATTATATTTTATTTGTTGCCATTAAATATTGTTTAACCCTGGTGATTCCTTTCTATTGCAGTGTCACTCTAACTAGTCCATACTCTGGCTAGTTGAAGATCTTTTTTTGTGTCTGTCCCCTTAACTCAAGTTAATAGAATCTCAAAAGGCCTAATACTCCGGAACACCTTAAATTCCTTTTGCGGCTGATAATGTATGCTCATTTATGCAGAAAGGAGGATAACAGCTCAGCAAATCCTTGTTTGTGGATTTGCCCATAAAATGAAAAGGAATACATGGACACCCAGGGGGCAGGGACTGGGTAGAACTGATTGAAAACTGCTTTAGGCTGTATAAATGTTCTTGTGTGTGTGTTCATCCATGAGGGATCATATCAAAAGGTGCCATTGAAACTCAACTCCTGAAAGTATTTCCTGGTATGGGTAACCTACTCATCACTCCAGTGTAAGAGAGACACTGAGGTAAGAATATGAGGAAGACTGGTGGGGCCTTTTCACTCTGACACTCCTGAGGTCACAGAAACTATGACACCAGAAATAGGAGGTGTGGAACTGGTTGATATAATTTAAGAGGAGTAGATTTCCTTCTGCCATGTGACTTCTAAAAACTTTTGATGGAGAAGATTAAACGCTGTGTAAGTAAGTGCCTTTAAAGTTCAGGAACAAAAACCAGCGTCCTCGTCAGTGCAATTAATAATGTTTGCAGTGCTTTAAAAAGCCAGGAAGAAACTGTGTGTAAGTATGTGCACTCTGATGTTTTGAGAAAATACTGTGCAGCCCTTTGAAAAAGGGGAGAAGTTTTATGAGAAGATACTATTTTTCTCTATTTTCTTCTCCTTTAGACAGCTCCTACCCTCTCCCTCCACCTTCACTTAAATGGTGAAGCTGAGCTGGATTTGAATGTCTGACAGTTCAGGCTGCTGTCCTGCTTAGTCAAAGTGACAGTGTTGATATGCACAAAAGTCTTAAAATTGGACAGTGTGGTCCTAATTTTCTCTACGTAAGAAGAAAATTAACCTTGAACATCTAAAGGCTTCCATTATATTAGAGCTGATATGTTTGCTTTAAGACGTCTGCAGTATCTGATGCGCTGATCTGTTACTGTTTTTGACTGTGAACACTTTGGTAAGGAGTTCTAGAATTTTGGGCAAGAACCTGTGCTGTGGTCACAGCCTTCGTCTTGTTGAACTGGTCCCTGAAAGGTCTTGCCTTTTAAATAAAATCTTTATAGAGCTGTATAATGACATGTAAATACACAGATGGAAAGCTTGCATATTTTTTAAGCACCTATTGGTGAGGTTTATCAATTTATTCAATGAAAACCTAACTCTGTTTTCATTTATCATCATCTTTAATAAACACTGCTTGTTGGTTGGTTCTGGAGTATTTTAAAGATTTGCTAAATTTTATGTTACAAAATAAAAGTCCTATTAGCTGAGAATTGTAGGAGGGCCTTGGCTAGAGATTTGCACTCCTGCAAACATGGATCCCTAAGCAAGACTGTGTATGTGCGAAATCCAACATCAGTGTTATGCATCTGCAAGTGTTGCACACACCACAAAGCAGTCTGCTGTTACATCCATTGCAACAGAATCTTAGTGGTTCTCATAATAAATAATTGTGTTGTAATTATTTCAGATGTTTTTACCTACCTAGAAAGTAATAAATTTGGGACTAAGAATATTAATAAGCCCACAAAGTGATTTCGATAATTAATAAATTCTTCATAGCAGAATCAGTGCAATTAAATACTAAGTTGGGCAACAAGTTTGGAGTTGATGAGTGATAGGATTTGGATTTGAACTTGAAGTCAATTGTTTTGGCTGTAGCTAAAGGTCTGGTGAGTAGTTGAGCAAGGGAATTGACAATTAGGAGGTATCAGCTATAGCTGTTACTGGAGCAGTACATCTGGTACTGACAGTCCAGGGAGGATGGTGAAAAATCAGCTTCCAGAGAACAGTCTTGAAAATGACGGGGGAGAGTGGTCTTAGTAATGAAGACATAAGGTGCTTACTTTGTTTAGCTTAGCTAAGGAAATTTGAAGGGCTTCTTCATTAGTCAATATGCACCTACTTGGCAAAGAGGTATTTGATAAAAGCTTCTCTTCAGCTGACACAGGTGTACCACAGTTCTGTGGTTGGAAGGGGAATTAAGCAAGTTCAGACTTCAAATAGTGGGTGTGTTCTTACTGGAGTAATTAATCATTGGAATGCATTACTATGCATAAATAGCTTATCACTGAGTATTTTTTTGTGGGCATTTCCCCACCCCCATTTCTTAAAAAGCAAATGGGTTCAAGTAAAGTTAAATTTTGGGAAACCCTGTAGTACCATATTGTGCTGGAGTTTAAAGGATTTCAGTACTGTTTTTTCTATTGGTGTTATAAAATCTGTTTTTAATTATGTATATTTCATATCTTATCGATATCGTATTTCATGATGTGAGGTTATAGAATTTGACCTGTAAAAGTGACTAGCACTCATAGTTTTCACCAGCTCAAGGGGAGCTGTTTCGAACCGAAGTAGCTCTGTCTGGTCTGAGGTATTTGGAAAACAGTTGACCTTAATTGCATCAAAACTGATGGTCATTGTTCAGTAACCTCTCTACACCTCTGTTTTCAGTCTGTAAAATGGAATAACAGAGCTGTTTAGTGAGAGGATGCTGTGAGGATAGAGTCATTACTAGTGAGAAAGCACTTGTACTGAGTCCAGGAACAAGATACAGATGCTCCTTGGAAAGTAGCAATTGCCATCCTCAGTGTAAAATTTAAATAAGTTGTAGTAAATTAAACTTAATGCATCTTTTGAGATGAAAAAAAATATTAAACTTATTGATTGAATGGTACCATCTTAGTCAGTGAATGAAGCCTGTGAAAGTGGTGTGTGATTTTCATTTTTTGCTTGATTTAATGTTTTTGTTTTTTGTTATGTGTGGACATTAGTAAAACATAAGCTGTTTCTCAGAAAGTGAAGTATGATACCTGATCTCCTTTTTTTATTTGTTTTCTTCCATGTAACTTAACAGTAAGCCTGGTTTCATCCTAGGCATTATAAATGATACCAGAGCAAGAGGCAGCGCAAGGTTTGGATCACTTATGGTGTACTGGCAATCTACCTGAAAGCCATACTGATGCCTAAACAGTCGCTGAAGCTTCTGCCTCCATGGGGCACTATGTAGCAGTGCCCCATTTTCTCTTTTCCTGCACAGAGCTGTGACCAAAACATACTTTTTTTTCTGCCAGGTTTGGTTGGAACTAGGCAGTCAGATCAAAAGTGACTGCTGGAAACTGAGAAGGACAGCTTGATTATTAATCAAACAAAATTAGCTTTCTTTTACTCTCCAATGCTTTTGTTTTCTATGCTAAAAAATCAAGAAGCCCACAAGTTCCACAGGTAATATTTTTCCCCCTTTAGATGCCACATGCTCCACTTAAAAACTAAAAATTTACTTGATATTTTTAATATGAAAGCAATTAAATCTGTCACAGTCAATTTTCATTTTTTTTTTAGTGTCAGTGTTTCACAATCACTTCACATTGTGCTCTGTAAACTCTATCCCCAACCTTTTCATTTACTTTAGAAAGCCAGACGTTTAGCTAAATGTATATTTGATTTTAGATTAAGTTTTTTCTTCTCTTCTCAAAATCTGTTTATATGCACAAATTACTTGACATCTGCAGTGCCTTTTCTGCTGTCTTTGGTTAAGTGTGTTTAATTGCATTGTCTCAGCTTCCTGCAGTAAAGTGTCCCTTGATTGAAGTGCTGTTTTTGGCACAGAGGGAATATTCAAATTGTTATTTTCTCCCATTTAGACTCGTTCTTGTTTCTGTTTTATTCTGTTTCTACATAGATGGTTTCTTTGCACCTTTGCTATTGCTGTTCTGATATTTGAAAATATTAGTTTATGGAGAGCTAAACGCACTTCAAAATCAAAGATTTCTGAAGAAAAGTTGTTTAGATACCAGTTCTCTTTCAATTGATAAACAGGTATGTAGATAGTTTGGAAAAAATGGATGGTTGATTTGTTACATATATAACAGCACTGTATGCTGACTTTTCCAAAACTATGGGGACACATCAGACTTTCAGATGAATTTGTCTGGACTGTAAGCTACTGAAATGCATAATTCATTTTTATACTTTGCTATTAAAAGGTATGTTTAATACGAGTGTTAGAGAAACAGTAATTGAATTATCTTTGCAAGTTGTTTAAATCTAGAATAAGGAAAACTTATCTGCAAAGCTTAGAGAACTTAGCACAAACAAAATTTTCCATTTTGAAGTTTTCTAAAAAGAGAAATCTCTTCTATGTTATGCCACATTGAAACATGTATTTCTTTAATGAGAAGTTAACCTTATCAGAAGGAAACATTTTGGAACTGAGTTACCAGAATTTTCCTAGCCATGTTTAGGCCAGATGTGGTTCAAACCATTTCTAGTGGTAAGAATTTAGTGGAAAGTATGGGTTCTTTCCTGTTAAGCTGCTGATGTTTATGTATAGTGTCTTGTCACTCAAGTTTCAAGTGTACCTTGTGTTTGTGTGTGTGTGAACTTGAATACCCTCCCCAACTGCTAATAGAAGCATCTTTTTATTTCTACATAATCACACTGAACTCCTGGCCATCTTCTTGCTGTGAAAGCTTGAGGTTTACGTAATAATGTAATTCTTCTTTCAGTCTGGGACTGCTACT